TTTCCTTCAAAGAAAATAATTTGTAATAAAATCGGTACACGATTGCGACGGTAAACGTCGCTTTTTATTATGAAGTTAATTAGTTACGTAATTAATTAAATTGAGGTAATAGTCTTGAGCTCCAGTTTATTAGTATTGCATGGCTGTACCTATAAATAATCTTATTACCACCAACGGATACCGCAATAGCATTTGTTCGATTTAGACGCGTGGGATCGAGAACGGGCAACCGAAGAAACGTGGGAAGGATTCGAGGGATAAAGAGGGCTTTGAAGTTACGATCCAAATTGAGATAAAAAATGACTCGAGTCCCTTGCGGGTAACTTTTACCCTGGTGTTACACGCGGGGGCGTATCAGACTCAACGTACTGTCACATAAGTGTTCCGGATATTTTGCTGGTGTAGATGCATTGCGTGTGTACGGCGCACCGTAAATATCGACGGTATAAATACGTAAAGGAGCAAGAAGTGGATAGGGGGGAAAAGTATACGGATAAAAGAACACCTCAAGGGGAATTCCGTTATTCATATTTCAAAAGCACGAAGAGGAATTCGCATCGAAACGCTCTCACGATGTTTTCGCTTTCTCGAGCGGTGTTGATCTGGCAGATCTCGAGTTTCTCGAGCAAACACGAGTTTAATATTTTTCCTGGACCGTTAATTATACACGCACGGCAGAGGGTATAATTACAAACTTTTTAACATTATGTAATTTAAAAAGCTGCAATATATATGTATATATTGCAGCTTTTAAATTATTTAAGGTTTGTATAGGTCTTGAGTTATGAAGAAAATAAGGGGTGCGCATAAGTCGTGTGTTTCGTAACGTTTTATGTCTTTGCGTAACTTTATGTGTAATATGAAAAAGCACATCTCGTGATTACTTGCACCTTGAGTATGCGTATAGCCTGTACAGAAGCTAGAAATTTACGTCAACAGCGGACTAGAAAGAATAAGCGTAGGTACATAACGAAAGTAAGGGGATACAGTAGATAACAAATAACATATAATAAAGTTATAGAAATTCTAGGCTGTCCGTAAATATATCTTTTTACGCTGACGTGCTCAGGTGTATGTATGTCTTTTGAGAACCTTGCCTTCCATTCGATTGCTCTTTCCACCGTCAGATCTCTTGGCAGCCATACTCGAGGTTTCACATCTACTACTTGTGCCGTGGTTTCCCGTTTCAACCGCTCTTCAGATACATGCACGCTCGAATTGTCGCAAGCATCCTACATATTTCGCTTCCGCAATAAAATATAATCGTTTGTTATTGTAAACTTACCCCTAAGGGTTATTACATAGTGATGTGAACGTGCAAGATTGTTGAATTAATTCGAGAGTGCTGAATACTTAATTTTTAATATTAAACTTATGACTATTAATAAGAAACGTAGAAATCTCTTTAAGTTGCCAGTAATAGATAATCCAGCTTTTTAGTCGACACCAACTTCTTTCAGAAAGAAGGGAAGTCCAGGTTCCAACCTTGGCTGAGGTAATATTTTCCGCAATAAATTTTCTGTAGTAAAACACTGGCCGGTTAATGTCGGCTAAAAAGCTTGATTATTGTTAATAAGTAAGTTGTATCATACAAATCTGGAAATAAAACAGAGACGTACAGTATCTCTAACGACTCTCATTCTACCGGTGAGTGATATTTCAAAGACAATCATCAATTTAGTTAAATATTGGTCTCATAAGTAATGCGATTTTTAGTGATAATTTTGAAATGAAACAAAAAATTTGATAATGATAGTTAAATCATAAACCGATAAATCAATAAGAATTAAGAAAGCCGATACGGTCCGAGCAGAATGTACGTAGCGCAATGGTTTAATTGTGTGGATTTTTATATACCGTTTCCATCACGTCCTCCGCGCCGATTACTTTTCGGTCCTAAACATAGTTTCTTTGGTAAAACAATAGATTCACGATAAATGATTTCAAAGTACATTTTAAGACCGAAGAGAAAACGGCGCGCAGGACGCGATGGAAACGACGATATAAAAATTCACACAGTTAAACTAGGACTTACATCCTGCTCGGACTGTGGTGGCTTTCTTAATTCTTATATTAAAAAATTTGATTATAATCTAAAATATATTTTCCATTATTATTTACAATTTTTTCCTCATCTTGATCTTAAATTTTCAATTTCTCGACGAAGAGTCTTTCTTTTGAGCTAAAGAATAAATCAAGCTCTCTTTTATACCGCATTATTTGTGGGGATAACCTAATATTTTTATTACTGAAATTACTGTTGGTTACCAGTGTTTAAATATATTTTATATGTTGTGAAGAAACGTGCTGTTGTATTATCGGTTGCTTTTGTTCTATAAATAGTTAAAAATAGAATGTGTATTTTTGTTAACCGTAACGAGTTTCTTGTTTCGGCTTCTGTGCTTACTCGTCTAGCGATACTACTGTCGGTATTGGGGTTGAATTACGCGTACTGTATAAATCTGCATACATTTTAACGTTTGTTGCCGCTGCTTCGTTGCAAACGGCGTTTAGTTTATAACGCGTAAGACTAATGAAACTGGAGCTTCGTTAAATATGTATTGAAATTAACGACGCGGTATTAAACAAATACTGCATTATTAGCAGTAATGATGTTGAGAATATCATTCAGCCAACTTGCATATTTTGCCAACAATTATTTCGCGTTTATAAATGCCAGCATTAACGATTGAGTACAAACTCATTCTTGTGTATCTTTTAATATTAAAGGCATGTCCTTCGTTTATTAAACGCGTGTATACAAATATTATAACCGGTATGAGAATATTTCACAAAATTTTTAATAAAGATTATAGCTTTATTTCCAGCGTCGAATTAAAAATTATGATGATACAACGGAGAAAATTATAGTTTTATATTTTCTTCCGTGCCGCTACTGCTATTCTACTCTCAATAATTACATCCTATCGATGTTTTCTCTTACCACCTACACGATACACTTTAATGAAAATAACGGGATTATAGTTAATAAATTTATAATCCGGCGGCGGATTATAGATTTATTAATATACCACGAGACGTGGTACATCGCGTTTGACGTGACGTTATGGCATCGACGTCGCGTCGCCGCGTTTATCGCATACCAAGCTGAATTCCGTTTTATTGATTGCGTAAGCAATATCCAGCTTTTCGAAGCTAAAATTCTTGCAAATCCGTAAATCGTCTCGACGCATCCAATTTAGATGCATATTTTACTAGTTCCCGTATTTATTACGCCGATACCATGGGGCGCGCAGATATCGTTGGCTTTTCCGATATAACGTGAATGACCGTCGACAGAATCGTATGTTGCTTCACTGCCACGCTTAAAATTTCAATTTATCCTCGGCCGTCGCGAAGCTTCATAGTCGCGTATGAATTAATTAGCCTGATATAATTAACTAACAGTTCATTCTGCATTTCGGTGAAAACGTATTAATAAACTCGCTAAAGGTTGCAAGTGGAATATTAATTTAACCAGTTTCGTCGAAAAATTAATTCCGTTGGAGAAGAGCTTCTGTAATAGATTATATCTGGATGTTCGTATTTGACACTTGCTGTCATTAAATACATTCAACTTGTAACTGACTGAATGATAACATTGTTTTGCATTCCTCATTTCTACGTCTATTTTTCTTAGGGCTCCTAATATTTAATAACTTTTTCGAATTTTAAAAAAGCGTACGTTAAGTAATGTAACAAGTATATATTTTCAAGTTTCACGTGTATAATAAATATATACAGTTTGAAGAGGAATATGAAAAATCAGAAAAGTTAAAGCGATCGATCTATTGATTGATTTCTTGATTACTAGATTTGTACCATAGATATATAATAGATATTGAAGAGGCTTTTAATTTGTTAATGTGTTCCTGTGATAGAGGTGCAATATCGCCATACGTGACAGTCCATTCATCTAGTTTAGTCATTAAATTACGTAGTATTCTGCTTCGTAGTTGCAAATTTCGCGACTAAGACCATTGAGCGATGAGAATTAATTAATCTGATAACGTGTAAGTACATAGGTACGCAAATGTATTAAGGATTTCAGGCCCTGTGGACCTCACCCTCGCTGCGATACTATCTCCGAACCTCTCGAATTTCCCAAGATGCAGCAGATAGCAAATCATATAAAATCGCTTGTAGAATCTTGAAATGAAGCTCGGTCGTTACGGTGCTTGACATTGTTACTTTATGGGACAGAAAGTTTATTTTAATTTGGACCAGTTTTATCAAGAGATATTGAATGGTTGTCTCATACCTTAAGTAAGATTTTAATTCTTTTTAAGATTTTTAATTATTTAATTTTTGTTTACTGGTACACTCGGGTGTTTAGTAACGTTTTTAATTTCATGTGTGTGTGATATAAATCAACGTTAAATATATTTTTCTGCAGTTTTAATTGTATTTATATATTTTGGCACAATGATTTGTGCGAGAAATATTTAACAAAATTAATTATTACGAAATTAATCAATTTCAAGAACTTGTCTAACGTAATTAGAATAATTGACATGTTCGTTACACTTAATTAGACGTGAGTTGCGTATTATAGACTTAGTACACCTTGAATTTGCGCGTAACTTGATCCTATCTAATTAGTCACATTGACGTATTGCCGAGTTGTGTTAGTCCTATATTTGTACGATCGTATAACATGCCGTATCTTGAGAAGATTGACTGCTGTAATTTCCCAAAGTTTCACCGTGGAAAATATCGCTGCGAAAGAAGTTCGCGATGGCGTCTTTTCTTAAAAGCTTTCTTTAGTTTGCTATTTGTCGTAACATTCTAATCAATCTGCTGTCGCATTCCCACAAATATGTTGTACACGATACAAAATTATGCTTTAACGTTCAAGAAGTAAAAAAATTCGAACGCGTTCACTTTTGTTAACAATTTATCGTGTGAGCGCCAATAATGCGATTAAAATTCTTAAGAAGTACCAGGACACTTCCGGTATGGCTTGTCGTTGTCGATTTACTGAAGAATCGCGTGTTTACCTGTCAGTTTGCATGTCAGTCTGCAGTATTTGCGGTTGCATCTGTATTTGTAATTCTTGCGCTCGATCCGATGTCTCCACCCGATGATCATCCACTTTTTCTTTCTCATTAGTTGTTCTCTCGGTTTTTGCGTCGCAATTCTCCACCGCGGTGTTCCTATGTTCCACCTGTACAAGAAAATACCGAGGAAACATCGGTAAAATTACTTCCCATTTAATTTCCTGACATGAGTACAGAATGTTAAGAAAGTTTACTGAATTCGTGCTGACTTCTAATTTTAGACTTATAATTATGGACCCACGTCAATTTAGCAATTATAATGTAACAAATTTTATTTGATTGCTTGTTACATATGAGCACTCTGCAGTATAGAGAAATACTCCTGAATAAATCTGCATTTTTTTTTGGACAATTTACAAATTTAGTAACCATGCAAGAAAGGATTTATCACTTTCTCGTTATACTTTTTTCGGTGATTTTTAAATATATAATATTTAAGGGCGCTATGAATTTATCTCACTTCCAGATTTTAACAATGGACATTGTAAAAGATTCACGGAAGAGAGAAAGTAGAAGTACAAAATAGTCACTACATCTCTTTAATGTTAAACCTTTAATTTTCTGAGCTATATTCCATCACTGACTAAATTACTGAAATTTTTAATTGGACTTTTATTCTTATTTTGACATCTCAGATTTCTATTTAACTTTTTGTATTTTTGTCTTCTCCTTTAACGAATGCAATGATAATGTTATCGTTGACTAAATTACTAAAATTGTTAATTGGACTTTTATTCTTATTTTGACATCTCAGATTTCTATTTGATTTTTTGTATTTTTGTCTTCTCCTCTAACGAATTCAATGATATTGTTATTGATGATAACGTCACGTATTCTAAGTGATGAGAACAGTCGTGATTTACAATTTCCGACGTTCATTTCATTCTCCGGTAGAATGAATTACAACACTTACCGTGTTGGGATATAGCTCTTTTTGTTGCTCTTCATCGTCGGATTGAATCACGGTGGCGTCAGGTGCGACATGGATGTCGTTTTCCGCCATCTCTTCGTCCTTTCTCGTCCTTTCAGCGCGGCCACAGCAGAGGCCCAACAAGCAATACACGATCACGCACACAACTCTCTTGATTTCGTTCACATACACCACCCACACGCGCTGCGGCTTCGACCGAAGTCTTTCTGTTTGTATTTCGTTCAGATGGCGTGATACCGCATTTTTATCAGACTTGCCTTTCGCTGCTTTCATGGAGTATGGTTTCGCACTGGCTCATTCCGTACGTTTTGAATTTCCTTCATGGAATGCGTTAGATCTGGGAGAATATTGACGATATCTTCGCGTGGCAGGAAATGGGAATTTCCTGGACGCACTCTCGAGTCGATGAAAGGGCACGTGTCAAGGTCCCGTTAGGGCTGATCGTTATGTACGCGTTCTGTTAAAGTTCGGTTACGTAAGTTCTGTTAAAAACAGAATATTAGATTGAACTGATGTAGTGAACGGAAGATTCTTTCTAATTGAAGAATCTATTGGTGTCTTCCATTTTATTCAGATATTATGCAAATTCATGAAACATTTTGATTAAGTATATAGCAAGTAAATATTTCGGTAGAGAAAGTGAAGGAAGAGAAACTAAAATCTCCAAAAATGTATGTTCGCCAACAAATTCTATTAATTTGAGTTAAACCTCTCTTTGCTTTTACAATTACGTCAATTACTCGTCAGAAAAATTCCGATTTCGTGATTTTTGGCGAAAATTGTGATTGAGTAAATATTTGTTATATATTTAGTCAGCAAATCATATTTTGTTGTATACAAATAACACCTAGAATAATAGAATGAGTGAAAAAATTAATAACAAATTTTATTTTAAATTATTACTGTTTTATAAATCTCGAAAATCAATTATGATATTTTTCAATTACTTTTCGTCTCGTGTACACATGAGAAACTGTATTCAACTTTTCCTTTATAATATTTGTACCGTTTATTTTCAAGAGGTAAATTTATCCTAATATTTAATAAAAGCTAACGATTACAAGAACGCACGCCACAAGGTCTCTATAAAATGAGCCGATAATGCTCGAAACTCAGTTTAAGAGAGTTGAGCGAAGAAATTGCTCGATTTTTAGTGACGGTTAATAGGAACTTCTTTTTCTTGTTCGAACAGTGTGTAATGAGACTCCTCCGCAATTCTTTGCGCCCAATAATTCTCTTCGTATAGAAATTAAGTGCTGATGGAAGAAGTCTAATATTTGTACTATCCACTACGAAGTACGCTTTTACATGATATTCTACTGACCGTAAAACCATATTTTTCTACTGGCCGCGCAATCGTGTTTTTTAAAACCATTGATTACGTGATCGTATTTAAATTGCCCATTCGCAAAATCATATAACATTGTTTCCTTCAAATTGAATCAGATCACGATGTTTACATCGCATGGAATTTTTCGCAGAAATAATCGGAGATGTAATTTTTTCTCTCCCTTTTCTCTCTTTTTCTACACATGTAGATTTTCTTCCCTATGATTTTAATACTTATTTAATTTTCATTATATATGAAATACATTTATTTGTGATTCAGGAAATTTTCAGAATATGTCTCGCTATACAAGTTAAATCGCATCCGTTTTGATAATTTTAAAAAGCTGTGTAACGCGACATAGTTGTTGCCGTAAGAATGGTAAAAGACATTTAATTAATTAGAATAAATAATGACACATTGAAACCAGGTCTGATTAATTAATCCGCTATAAGATAGATTGAAATCGACATATTAAAGATCTTCGCGCGATATCCGATTTCGTTTGACATTAAATTTCCTGTTCAGGTCGAGAAAATTCATTAGCATTTAACGTCGACGTTCGAAGATGCCTGCTGATGATAATACAACGGCGAACTATAATATATGGCGAAGAGTTTTTAGCGAATTGAACTGCATGTAGTTACTTAGATAACGTTTCTAAATTTATCCGACTCCCATGTGACTTATCACCGTAATCTGTGTATTGATAGCAATTGAAGACACATGCTGTGGTTAATAGGATCGATAATAACGTAAGATAACGATAGCAATATGTCATGACTATGGTTAGCCATGAAAAATCGAAAGCGCAACAATGACTACGATATTGCAATAAGTTTTAATGACGTTACATTAATGCTAAAATGATGTATCCGTTTAATTTCATTAATATGGCAGAAATTTTGTGCGCAATACATACAAAAATGTTATTAAAAATTGTTATTAAAAAATGTTATTAAAAAATGTTATAAAAAAAATGTTATTGTTCATAGACAAGTAATACATAGTTGAGAGAGACTAAAATTTATATCTGGATAAAGGGTATTTAAAATGAGTATATTTTCAATTTGCATATATGTATAAAAGGCGATTTAAAATCTGCTTGAAAAGTTTATAGTATTAAACGGATAATTTGTGGAACTTGAGAAAAAAAAATACAAACGCGTTGTCTGTTATTTGAACCGCTTTGAAGCTAACCGTAACATTCGCGGAAAGTTTATTAGAAAACTCCAACATTCAACGTGAAATTATTCGGACTGTTTCAAGAACAGAATTAATTTCAATTCGGTCCAATTTTACAAAAATAATGTATAGAAATTACACGGTATGCAAAATGAATAGTACGAATTGCAGCAAGTCGTATAAATGAAGGAAAATTACACATTGAGAAACTATTTTCCATTCGTGATAACTCATTTCTGTTCATTTACCCAGCTCATCCATTTTGATGGATTCGACATTTTGACAAGAAGCCAGAAGTATTTTTCTATCTTACTCATTTTGTTCAGTAACCAACGCACATCCCCTCCCCTCCTCTTTTATCGGGCATTCCGTACAAATTTCCTTTCTCTTTATATGATTTATATCGTTATCTGTGAGAAGTCGAAAGGAAAATTTGTACAGTCGGCATAATGCCGCAGTCTGTGAAAGTCATGTGGAATAATTTCGCGGCTATGGTAGGACACGCTGCGATGAGTTTCATCAGGTGTGAAATTGCGCCTTCGCACATATCCCTTTATCTTAGAAAGTCCCTCTAATCCGGATACCCCTCGCGGTATTTCGTACTTAATACCCGAATATATTTGACCATTGGATTACTTCAATTTGTATTCATTGTTTTCGGAGTCTTATGTTCGCAACCTTTAGTTGTAAATTCGCCAAGAAATAAAAAGAAATCACGTACAAAAAAAGCCGCAACTTTCAGGGTCTATGTCGGAGTCTTAGAAAATTATCAGGCTACATTAAATACAAAGTTTGCTTAATTAAAATTGCGCTATATCGCCAACCCCGGTAGATGAGGAGAAACGTTATAGCTTGTGCGACACAGCAAAAAAAGCCTTGGTCGATGGGTTTCTCGAACTTTTAGCAGTTAATTAGAGCGCAGAGTAGAGAATGAAACACGCTACAATGATACCGAAAAGAAAGTGCTTTTTATTTGCTGTAACAAATATATGATTCGACGTTATGTTTTCGTCACGCGTCATCGTGCTGCTAGAAACAAGACGGTATCCGAAAGGAGTGACGGACAGAAAGTGTACTCGAGGAAGTCAGAATGACCTGGCGATATCGGAGAAGCAATCGACCGAGGCTATAAACCCATTCGTTCGAAATATCGCATAAATAAGAGGAAGGATGCCGAAGGGCGTCCGCGGGAAAGCTTGTTAGAGCAGTATTCGAACTCTTTAATTTCATCGCTATCCATACCGCGCGGAATGTACCTACCCGACCTTAATTACAAGTTTATTCATTAGTGACAGTTGTCGAGTTTCGACGAGCATGCGGATATCGTAGTCGCGCGTAGATCTCGCGTTGCCGCGAGTGACGCGGCCGCGTCGGTGCTCGAGAGTTTCGAACTCATTTAAACAACTTTTCCATTGTCACCCATACACCGGCGCGCGACGGGAGTGTGGAAATATTTTTACGTGATTATGAGGGTAGCTCGCGTGCGGCGACACGCGGCTCTACCACTTAATATGATTGGAGCTTCGCGCGGTGAGCGGTAAACTTCTGGAAACAATCATGCGAATTGATTACGCTCGCGTCGGTGTTTGCAGCTAAGCTGATGAAACGATGAATCGAAAGAAGACAATAAGATTATCTTGGTAAGGAAATCTCTCGCGGGAATGGGATGCCGATCTCTTTTGAAGTAAGCGTGGTCGTCGAATTTGGAAAAGCTGTGCGAAGCGTTCCGTGCGATTTCTTTCAAATTTCAGGGACGTACTTTAACTCGCGGTTATTTTTTGCATTATCTGAAAGAGCGACGCTAATGAAATCTTTCGCTGGAAGACAGAAATGCCCTGGCATTCGTTAAAAAAAGAAATCTGCTCTCGAAATATCGGGAGAATGCTTTATTGCTCATTCGCGTTCGCCGCGGAACTCCGTGCATTACATCATTGCGACTACGCAATTGGATTCCATCGAGAAATCCATCTTCATCGTACCGGCTGCCTTGGACGCATTATGGAGCGCCATTGACTTCAAAATAGTAGCAGTAAAAATAACACGGCGTTTACTCGAGAACCGTCTTCCATGAATACGCGTATATCGTACTTTTGGAAAAGACAAAACGCTCTTAATTCTGATACCGGGAGGCAGCAAAATTTGCCGACTTCGATTAGGATTTGCAAATGGAGGCGATTTTGAAAATCGCCGGGAAAAATGTATCTACGAAACTTTATTGGGATGAATTTGGACAAAACTTACTAAAATTATGAGGTTTTTAAAGCCTACTTTTTTTAAAAGCTTTATTTGTTGTTTCACTCGTAAACGCTCGACTCGATTGATTCGTTACACTAATTGTGTAATGAAATGTCGCGGCGCAGGAGCTAAGGTAAATGTCACGAATATGTGCTGTGATAATATACAATGATCTAGCTAGATAATTCGTCGCGCGACGCGATGCACGGTCTAGGAAAGTCTTTCTTTAAGTTGCCGGGAGGTCTTACCAATGTCACGAGCGTATTACGAGATGGTTGCCGCGAACGATGATTTACGATCGCAATAACGCGGAGGAGAACGGGCCGAGGTTACGCCAAGTGCATTGTTGAATTCGCCACGTTGATCAAGCTTAAAAGATTAAGTCGCACAAGCGTATTTCTGTTCCGATTATAGATTGAATCTGCGCGGAAATTGTGTTTTTCCGCGTGTAAAATGAGATAACTTTAATCTTACCATAAATATTCAATACGCCGATTTCAATATTCTGCAACGTTTATCTCGACAGTAACGGATTGCATTGTACATTATGCAAAATCATGGTGCGTGAAAGCTCACGAAGCGTGAAATTTGGCGTTTAATAGAGTATTAAGAATTTAATATTTAACTTTTCAACTGTTAATACAATTGCGTTAATTTTCCTAACGTTAATATCTACACCCTCTTCTTTACTGCGCAGCAAAAAGAATTTTCGCGACATTAGACTATGTTGCTTTAATTTGAGCGTGTCTTTAATATAAAAGCGAACAAATTCTCATATGCGTCTATACTCGCGTATGGAAATGTGATTCTACGATGGCTCATGGGACAATTACGAGTCGTAAAAATAGTGATTACTCATCAGCCTCATTATTTATGTAACAGGGTCAGTTTGGAAGGTGGAATTAGCAAAGCGTTCATTATATTCGCTTTATGTAAGGATAGAATCGTGTGATAAAACCGGACGCAATGCGTAACAGAAAATCGATCGATATTTTCTCGTAATAACATAACAGCAATCGCGGCGCGCTATCCGCATATAAACTACCGTGGCGAAGCAGCTTGCATAGTCATATGTACAACTCGTATCCACGTTATTATTTAACATTGTGTAAACTGCTATAGATGGCGAGGCGCATAATGCGTTGATGGGAAATGAAGACGGTAAAGAAGTGGAACACCGTAATGGCTTTGACGACCGAGCACTGGCGGCGCAGGCAATGTTATGTTGCAATCAAGACGTTAAATATCTAATCCTAACATCGCGAGGGATAACCCGATCCTATCGATCTCGGTTAATTGCCGTTCCATCCACCTGTCCTGGCCGGCACCGTTTAATCGCGAGATTTAGCGGTCTTTTTTTACCGGTTTCTACAAATGAAAATGCGGGGAGTGTCTACTCAAGTTTCCCTGTTGCTCGATAATCCTTTTCTTTCTTGAAATAACTTTGAGAACGGAGTGATATACGAAAGTTTTGCAGTAAAGGTTTGTTATTCCCTTGCACGGTACAAAAGACGTTTCCACAGCTGACATTTGGTCGCTGCGACGTAGAAAAGAACAATAAATCGGACTTGGGGGATCAGACAAAGGGCACGAGACCATTTCGTTCGCCGGTGCACCGTATGTTTCACATACGCAGCGCGTAATTCCGCTCGTATAATCTGCTCCGTTTGGTCGTATTATCCTTTGCGTGGACTATCGACTTTAAGATAACGGATCTTCCCGAATAAAGCCATGATTGCCTCGTGATATTTTTTCCTGCGTCACCTACGATCCATTTCGTTATCCGAATTTGTGGCCACCGAGCGACGGAATTTCGGTGAAACTACGCTGTATTTAAATTAAGCTAATTAAACCATATTAAACGGGGACATTTTTAATGAACGTGCGTATTCAAACACGATTTTAATTAACGCCCATTGATACAATCCTACGGAGATTACTATTAAATTGATACTTTTTCAATTATAATTGCGAGGCCTTGCGTAGGGATTTGTTCTAATAACAGATCACCTTCGATTCAAGTTGGGAGAGACTTTGGGTTTACGCAAGACAAACTCACTTGAAATTCATTTGAAGAAAATTTCGTTTAAACTTCGTTAAACTATTTGTGATATAAAGGGAGACAGTTTTCGAATATCTTAACGGAACATTTGAGAAAAAAAATATGCGACAGAATTTTGTTCGTTCCAAGCCCGTTGCGTCCCCCCCCCCCCCATGTATTATGCATCCCCGCACCGCAAGTGCTCCACTGGAAATTTTGTAAATTCTTCAGGTACATCCTGAACTCCATGAGAGAGTGCATTTTCCAATCTTCTCATGTATCTAAAAACAGTAAGCGCTTTATCGCGGAGTACTTTAAAGCTTGAAAGCTTTGTTTATACCTGGACGACCTAGTCAGATTACGATGTTTCGCAATGTAAACTATACATGGTGCAACAGCTCGCATCTAGGGTCGATTTTATGATCGCGTTATCGCGTAATTATAGAAACTGCCGAGCGGTGGAGATTATATAGTCAAACAGCGCCAAGAATCGGATATGCTTCAACGTCATTGATCGGAACAGTGGACGTAATTAATATTGCAACAGGCCGTATTTCCTACAGTTATCGCACTCCGAAAATGCCGCCCTCCTCCCAAAAGGTTGCTTCTCGATTTGAATTCTTTAACTCGCGGTAAAATTGAGAGAAATTAAATCCCCCAAACTCGAAGACGGGATGGTTATCGCGTATTTGCGACAACGTTACCTCGTCATGGTACACGGAATTGAGGAAGTTCGTGGAATGAGTTAAATTAGGCTGAAATTAGATAAACCTCGCCTTGGGAATTTATCGAGAAACGAACGACAAGTACATACAACATGAAATGTAGCTTTGACTGTGCATCCGAATTGGTAAATAACGGCATCGGATTGCACAAACGAGACGCAGAGCGCGTACATCGTCCGGTCAAGCATCAAAGTGCACTTGCTCCAACGACGATCGCAAATTACGAAACATTATGCGTCCATTATTGCTGATCGACTGGTTATCCCTTAGGGACCTTGCGGTATTAAAGCTCAATGTCTTTCCCCGAAATACCCCCCTTTTCGAAATATCACGAATAGGTCAGGCAAGTTCGGCTATTTTTAATTTGGCTCCACGAAATCTATATCATACTATTCGCGCAATGATTGTCTGTGTCATTGGAAGAAAAATCGATGAATTAGATTTGCAAGAGTAGGATCGCGAATGCTTTGAGATTTACAACTATCGCAAACCCTGAGAAAACGGATGAATAGATGCGGTATGTAAGATTTTTCCCGACACGCGTATACTAGACCTTTATTTATTTACTTCCTAATAAATTACTTTCTAAAAATAAAAGAGATCGCCATCAAAATACATAAAAAATTCGAGACGCAGAGTTTCAGGCGGCTAAAAAAATATCGATAGCGCATTGTTTAATGCAGGCCGCAGCACGAGCTGTCAGCTCGAATGCTGCTTTGTTGCTTTACTTTTAGAATTTACAGGTACACTCGCTTTCAGAGGGTTTTGTCGCGTTGAGCGCTAAATGAATTCACTTGATATTTTGTTCGCGCGGAACGCGGGCTATTTATACGACTCGCGATTAAAAATTAATTACAATAATCGCCGCGCGGAAAGGCAGTCGTGTCCGACTGTCTTTCTGCATGTGCGAATGCTTAATGGCCATTCCATTTGAATAAAACCTATTCTCGTCCGTGAACGTGGGATTGCGGTCGGTGGAAGAATGGCGAATTAATGAGAAAATATGCGCCGCGAGAGTGTAGCGTGCGAATCAATTCCGGTTATCTGTCGGCGCCGATAATGACGCACAGTGTTTGCGCGCGAGTTGTCCTTACTTACGAACACTGCCTACGACGTGAGCGGCGAGGTATCACCCGCTAAAACCGTCAACTCGGCGGATCACCGTGGTGTATTAAGGACGGGCCATAAACGCCAAAACACCGTTTACGATCGCATCGATCTTCCCCGGGCGAGGGACATCGGGTACGCTTCTCCCATTTGTTCTCCCTCGCTGGTGCCGGCGAGCCCCGCGATCCAGCAAATTGTTCCCGAAGCGCCCTTTAAGAATTCAGAGGTGCGTTACATGCCCACGTTCGAGTCTTATACTGACAGTCCGTTATTCTTGGACGATCTTCCTCGGTGTTTAAGCAAGGATATCGATACAGTTCTAACGAGCTTGGAGCTTTAACGCGCCAAGCTGATCTGTATATTTATTTAGGACGAAGAGAGAGAGCGAAGATTAGAGATAGGGTCTTTCTTCACTCCCGTATCTTTAGCGTCGACGATGCGGCTCTCGCCCAGATTATGTCTGGGTCTTCAATTCTGGTGTTTAAACTTTCCGCAATGAATCTTTCTCTCTTCCTCCCCCCTCCCCTCTCTCTCTCTCTCTCTCTCTCTCTCTCTCTCTCTCTCTCTCTCAGGTCGACGTCGTGGAAAGACGAGTTTAATACACAGATAATATATTCCCGTGATATCGTCGTTCTCCGTTTCACTCGGGGGTCATAAAGCAGCGAGCGAGGCCCGTTTGGGGTCGGCTTAGGCCGTGGCAAGTAGTGGAGCTCGACGTTGCGCCCGACGTCCGTCGTGTGGCACGGCTCGCCGTCTACTGGCGCGCACGACGCCTGGCGTCGCGGCGCGTAGGGCGCAACGCTAATCGGCGCCGCGTCTCTCCACGACGCTGGGCCGACGGTGCGTAGAAACGCGAATCTTTTTGCACGCATCCCGACATCCCGGACGCGCTCGCCGATGGATTTATCGCTGGCTGGAGTCGCCGGAAGTATACCCTCGGAGCCCGGCCTACGCGTGTACCGTCGCCGTCGGACAAATGATTCTCGTCAACCCCCCGGTGGCCACGCCGAAACGATCACATTAGCGAGATGGGTGCGTCGTGACAGGTGATTAATTGCACATTGCTTTCCATCGACTCGTATCGTCCCGTGTCGCGCGAATTCATTGAATTTTCGCTTCCGCTCGTCCGTCATTGTAGCAATCTCTCTATCAGAAAAGTTCTATTACGACATTTTAATTTGATGAATTTTCCGCTTATTTTTGCGAACGGTATTGCAGAATACGAAATTCCCTCTTCACAATTCCCGCAATTTTATCCTTAATATTTATTTGAGCTTTAAACATCACTATGCTACCGCTGCTTCGCGCGGTTCAATGTTTAATGAGGGAATATTAATTATTTTCGTTATAAATCATGTTTTGTTACAAATCATGAACTGTTTATGCACCGTGCCAACTAATTTTAGTTACACGTGAATAATGCGATCATAAATAATGCATTGCTCATTGATGCATTACTGATGCAATGTACGGTCTGTCGTGAAAATAACCGAATTTTTTTAGAAACGACATATTACAGACAACTGTTTCGGACAGATGTTTTGTTTTATTCAAAATACATTCCTTCCGTGACGATACAACGATTGCGCAGCCAGTCAATGCATCAAATGATTTTTCTTTAGCGCAATGCCTTTGGCTCATTCATAGTTCGTTCTTATATTTAAGCCAACTCTTAAGCTATAATATAAACCAATCACAGAGCTGCATTAGCATCTTAAGATATTACTCGATTGTCTTGAAATAACCACTGACTATGAATACCGGCCTTTGAGGATGCTCGTCTGTTCGATGTCTCTAATAGCGTCATAACGCTCTCCTTTCATGGACATTTTCAGCTGCGGAAACAAAATGTAATTGCACGGTGCCAAGGCCGGCGAATATGGTAAATGCTGCGACACAGTAACTTGTTTTTCTGCCAAAACATTTTATGTTACGTTATGACACTATTCCAGACATCCAAAAGGCCGTGACGAGCAAAGGTATACCACGAAAGGACACGGGAAAACCATTTGACGCATTAGTTAATTGTACAGATCGTCGCGAGGAAAATGTATTTTAAATAAAATGAAACATTTGTCCTCAAACATCGTCTATGCTTTGTCACTTTTTATAAAGTTTGATTATTTTTACGACAGACCATGTACATCGCCGCTACCGAAAACCTGTTAATATTTTTTTATCATATTAAAATGTTTTATATGTATATATGTACATATGTACGGACAATGTAAAATTAATACGAAGAAACGATCATATTTTATAAAGGCTTATACTTATTTGAGGCAAGAAAGCGATTTTCATTACTGTTGAATATTATGTGCGCGGAGCTTAAAGTTTTCTATGCGTGCGATCATTTTTTGTAAAAGTATTTTTAACGATTTGGAAAAAGGAAATCTTGATTATTTAAGTAATTTTGCGTAGCTTGGAAGCAAACTTAATTCAATTATATTTCTCTATCTGAGATTCTCTCTCTTATACATTTTTGAACTTTATAAGAAAAATGAAAGAGTTCTGAGATTTTTGGTTTCCGTAGTTATAGACACGTGTAAAGGTTCGAGGTCACGCATGCTGGATCGCGTGTCGAACAATAATATCATCGTTACGGTCGGAGAGAGTATCACGTGTTACCAGCAAATCCGATTTTCGGTTTTCCGAACTCTTTTCCGTATCAGTGAAGCGAAGTTATTTCTAGATACGTATTTATTGATCTGTGAGAGCATTAAGCATTCCTGAGCTCTTAAACCTTCCGCAAATTGACGAATACTAACAAGAAGTATTACATGACGCTATTATCTGTGCATTATGGACTGTAAGTTTTTTCTGAATTTGAAAAAACGGTTTGACTTCAATTTGGAGTGAACAACTTTTTTTTGCTTTTAACTAAACCGCCAATAGCGATTGTATTTAATTTTGAATATAAAATATTACGATCATTTAATGAATGAATTAATTCAGTATATTTATGTTAAAGCTCAAATTTATTAAATAAAATTTTACTTTAATTATAATTCACTAGTAAATTTAAAAAATGCGAAATAAAATATGTATTTAATATTACTTAAAAAACATATTACTCAGTACTTAGATTATAGATGTTTTGCGAGACATTTCTTATCAATTTTGCCAATCTGCAAGTTTTACATTCCATTAATATTTTCTTAGCGTTATTTTTTCATAATATTAACTTTGAATTTCTCAGAGACTATTTAAAGGAATATTTCAACGTATACTCTTGTTACCGTGTTTATTAAAATTATAAAAAATTTCTAGTATTTAAATAAAAACGAAAATATATTTGCTAAACATATCCCGTGTGTTTGTTTATTAGCGATACAGATGTTTAAATATTTTTGTTATTAAGTAAACTTACCGCAATAATTTCAAATCACGAAACGATTCAATAAAATTGAAAACAAGAATGTTTAACCATGGAAATGTAACATTGCTTTTGCTGAGCTTGCACAAATCATTTATAATTCCTCGTCGCGTGTAGCTAGCATAACAGTATGATTCCAGTGGTTCACGCTATGCCAGCTGTATTGAATACAGAAAATAGAGAAAGGAACGAAACACCGTTGTACAAGCGATATGCATGGCCAAAGGTCATCGATGAAAGAAGTCGTGCATCTGTTATACAGGGTGAGGGAAAAGTACCGGACCGGTAAAATATCTCGAAAAATATGGGAGATACGGAAAAATGTTTCAGACAGAAGTTGGACGGTTTTAAGTTACGGTTTTAAAAGGGCTATATAATGGTAAAATTAATTTTCGAAAAATATTAATTTTTTATGATTATATGGAGGTCGCCACCATTTTTTTAAATGGAACCCCATCTTGTTTATTATACTATCTTATTCTACTAATTAATATTAACAACTTTTGTCTGAAACATTTTTTTATTTACCTAATACTTTTTGAGATATTCAAGAGAAAATTTATAACTTTTTCAATGTTTAGCTTGTGATATCTCGACAACTGTTTGTCAGAGGGAAAAGTAGTACAGGACTTTTTTACTTGATTTGGTCTCAGGAATATGCTGTCGCAATAGTGCTTTAATTATTGAAAATTTTGTGTATGTAAATTTTGTGGATGGTAGAATACACAAAAATTTTCCATAATTGGAGCACTATTACAACAGCATATTCCTGAGACCAAATTAAGTAAAAAAAGTCCTGTACTACTTTTCCCTCTGACAAACAGTTATCGAGATATCATAAGCTAAACATTGAAAAAGTTATAAATTTTCTCTTGAATATCTTAAAAAGTATTAAGCAAATAAAAAAATGTTTCAGACAAAAGTTGTTAATATTAATTAGTAGTCGAAACAATGGATTGATTATTAATTAGTAGAATAAGATAGTATAATAAATAAGATGGGGTTCCATTTAAAAAAATGGCGGCGACCTCCATATAATCATAAAAAATTAATTTCGTTCGAAAATTAATTTTACCATTATATAGCTCTTTTAAAACCGTACAACTTTTGTCTGAAACATTTTTCCGTATCTCCCATATTTTTCGAGATATTTTACCGGTCCGGTACTTTTCCCTCACCCTGTATATACATTCATTGTAAATAACGAAAATAAGTGAGGTATAAAATTGGTATAATACAGACGCTCGGATACCGATATCGATAAAGAAGAAGAATCTGACTTGTATATGATTCACGTGTATGCATAAAACGTTTAAGAGCCCTATTCTTGCGCCTTTATTCGCAGTTTACGGTAACAAAGATTCATGAATATAAATGTTATATATGAAAACCTAGTTTTCGTGTGAGTGAGAGTGAGAGAGAGAGAGAGAGAGAGAGAAGCTCAAAGATATTAGAATTATTGATTATAAGAATTAGCATAAAAATTATCACTCGACATTGCTCTCTAGATCGACGGCCCGACTTTGGTGCGCCGTGTACACACGTCCATATAATGTATACGCAACACTGCTCTCAGAATTGTGACATTGACATGAACTACGGCAGACGCCATATCGGCGTTTCGAGCTTATGTCGAACTATTAATCGATTGTTGAGATACACAAGGCGTAATGTCAGTTTTGGAGCAAGGCGTAGCGTGCTTTATCAATTAGTAGACGAATGCAGATTGTACGAAATAAAATGTTTCGGTGGAATTGAGCATATATACAGTACTGAAAAATTGATTTATAATTTATCTATAATCCGGAATCATAGAAGCTAATACGAGTCCTCGATGGAAAATTAAATTAATAAATGTTTGATGGTACTTTTAATTGCCACTATATTTCTTGTGCATGAAGAACTTTATATATAATCATAACTTTCTGTGATTACTGTTAATTGACGGGTCTTACGAGTCTCGCTTCCTTTTTGATTCGAAATTTCTACTTCCGCGAAATTCTTCCGTTGAACAGTTTTTCATTTAGTCCTGAATCGGGATATAGCTTTAAAGTAGATAAGTCAATTTGGCGAAAGTTTCTAGCAACTCGCTAGACGTCCTTTGAAACTTCAACGCCTCTTTACGATAAATTATAGCTGCCAGTGTCGTAGCGCTTGTCTCTTTCTCGTGAGTTTAATTACCTCGCCATTTACCTAAAGTTAGTTGAAAATATTATGATATGATATGAGAAGTAAGAAAGAGAGCGAAAGAGAGGGAGGAAAGCGAGAGGCTCTAATAACATGACAACTAAAATCTCTTCATCGAAAACTGTATCTGAGATGATACTATAAACGAGAAAGTGGGCTATGTTTGACGATTGTGCGAGTAACTTGCGGAAGGACAAAGGTGGCGACTATCGATAGAACGTCAATCTTCGGTCGAGTTTCGCGGTTCGAGTTCACGCTATCTTCCCTTAGTAACTTAGATTTCATTTTGTAGCCTTCCTTCGAGACGAAGGACGTCCGCATGCATTCGAAACCTCGAAACTTGCTGAATCGAAGAGGGCACATTTTCGTTCTATTGTGGACTAACGAATGCTTTGGAAATCTTCTTTTCTACCATTTTTCAGTTAGAAGACGCGCTGATCCTTTTAATTAAAGGATTTTTGATAACGTTATTCGAATTAGCATATTTAAGGTAGGTTTTTAGCATATATTGGATTAAAGTAGATCAAAGAAGTTTCCAAATAAATATTAGAACTGTGAGCGCTCGCTCTTTTGATGAAGGCATGTCTTTGATATCTTAGGTAAATATTCGATTAATGTATCTTTTATTAAACGACAGTAATTATGGCTAATATAGTTTAATGACGCTTCGACTGAACATTCAAAATTCTCGCAAAGAGCTCAGCGAAGGCTAAAAGCTTCCTCTCGACGCTCCTTTTGCGTAGTTACTGATTAGTATTGTACATTTGTCTTCTCTGAGATTCCGTGTTTCTTCGTTTTCACAGTGCATTAGGAAATTGAAATCGGTATCTACCGTTAAACGACCCGTATTCTTTACTACTGCGATTATGATAAGGTGAATCGTGATATTTTCCTATTAATTTTCATGGCTCGCACCCGAGTGAACAATACCGACGTTTTATGTGTGGTCGGAAAGTTTTCCATTGATTACAGATCGTATTTTTGGTACCTTCTTAAATTTAACGAATATCGGAACTTTGGCTATTGAACGAATCTCTTCTTCCTTCAATTTGCAGTAGATCCGAATGCTTCAGCAAGATAAATTGTGTAAGTTTTGAAGACAGTAATTATATTCTATCAAATTTTTATTTAGAATTAAAATAAATCGCTAATGAATATAATTATATAACTATACAGGATGTCCCTGAAAGGCCCACTAATTGCATAGCGTTATTTCTTATTAAAAATTGACAGAGAGCCGACAAGTCCACAATCGTTTTCCTCTGTAATGCTTAATAAGGGAATTATTATTAAGTAAGGTCAAACAAATTAACGCCGATCTTTAATCGAACACTTAGTAGTTTACGATTCATACTACTAGGCACCCGGCTAAAGATCGGCGCTAATTCGTTCGACTTTACTTAAAAATTATTCCTTTATTAAGCATTACAGAAGGAAATGGTTCAGAACTTTTTGACTTAG